GTTACTGAACAAAGAAATGTTTTAAATTTCTTTTCTAGTTTTTTAGTCTTAATCATGTTTGGGTATATTAAAACAAAAAATTATTGCATTTTTACTAAAGAGTCAATAATTCATTAAATTTTGAGTAAGTAACGTTTTTGTGACAAATTTAATATAAAGAGTATTGATCTAGAAGAAAAAATAAATAATTTTTTTCTCAAAAAGTTGTTTTTAAATTTATTTATCAACTGAGATATAATTCTTAACTTAATCGTACATTTCTGCTGAAAAAATTGTCTTTATTGCAGTTCGGGTATTTTTTGCGATGTTTTTTTATAACTTGCAATAAATATTAAAATTGGAGGAATTATTAATAAATAATATCAATAGATATACCGGGTTCCAAAATATATTATTCAAATTCTTGTTATGTTTATGTTCGTATTATCAGGTTATCTTTAAATTATATACCAATTTAGAAATTTTATATTATAAAGTGTAGTTTATTTCTATTATTATTAGTAATGAGCAAATATTGACTAATATAATAACCGAACGTGAAATAAACAATTTACAAAGAAGATCAACAATCCAAACAATGTTTAATTAAATATTGAACTGTATATAGTAACAGAATTGCCAGCTTTGTATAAATTATCATAATCTGTATAGCATTTAAATAAATTTAGCCTTTTATTTACTAACAAAAATCCTAGTTTTCCTGTAAACTTATATTGTTTTACTTTATTCAGAAGAGAATTGACTTGTCAGTATTGAGAATTTATAAATTATTAATATCTCTAAATTATTTAATTAAACTATACAGGGTGGTCCGAAGTGTATTCCGGAAACTTCGGCAGCATATTCTGCAGATAAAAATATGTAAAAAAGTTTCTATAAATGTATGCATTAAAACGCTTAGTTTCGGAGAAACAGGGTGTAGAAGTTTCATTTTTAATTCGATTTTTTCCAAATAATTTCTGTAAGTAACGTCAATATTTGGATGAAATTATTGGTATCTGGAAGTTTTTTGATATGAGAAATTTGATTTTGATGTCTATATAACTCCAATTTGTAGGAGCGCCACCTACATGTGTTTTAACTGTTTTGGAGAGTAATAACTTTTGTCCGTACTGTAGTAAAACTACTGAGTAAAAAATATACATTTCCCGTGACTTTTTTACCTAAAAGTATATCTTGGTAAAAATAGCTACGAAAAACTGTTCTCAAATATTTAGAATGGAAATAGTCAATACATGTCATTATTGACAAATAATAAACATGCTGAGAGTAGATAGTTATTTGACTGAAATAATAAATTTGTGGGATATTTTTTTAAAATTAATCACAAATTTGTGAAAAAAAAATATGATAGTACAGTTTCTGTTGAACTTTTGGCACAAAAACATTTCAAATTTATGATTTCAGTTTAATAACTATTTAGTCAACATGTTTAATTTATGTCAATGATGACAGGTATTGATAATGTCGATTCTAAATATCTCGAGAACTATTACTCCAAACGACTTTTACCAAGAGACCTTTTTTACGTAAAAAATATCGTAAATGTATATTTTTTTACTCAGTAGTTTTATACAGGTACGGACGAGAAGTTATTACTCTTCAAAACAGTTAAAACACATGTGAGTGGCGCCCCCTACAAATAGGAGTCATATTGACACCAAAATCAAATTTCTCATGTCAAAAAACTCCCAGACACCAATTTTCATCCAAATACTGACCTTACTTCTTGAATTATTTGAAATAAATCAAAATAAAAATGAAACCTCTACACCCTGTATCTCTGAAACGAAGCATTTTAGGACATACATTTATACGAACTTTTTCACTTACTTTTATCTGCAGAATATGCTACCGGATGCTATTTTCGGGAATACAGTTCGGACCACCCTGTATGTTAATTGGTGTTTCTATTTCTAACCTCATTCAAAACTGTCATTCGACACTGTAAATGTGGGCGTAATTTGTTTATGGTGGCCCGCATAATTAATACGTTGCTCACATTATGCGGAATTTCCATTGTGTAATGTTTACACTATCGGGTATCTACCGTAACTGAATGTTAATTAATGAATCTAATTAATTAGTGTAACTAGGACGAACTGTAAACCAATTTGGAATGATATAGTCTGTATAACTAAAGATAGGATTTTAGAAAAAGAAAAAATGTTATCATATCCACAAATATTATGCACACTTTTTTGGTAAAAATAATAAGGAATATTAGTTTTTCAATGACACCATCGATATTTTTTTAATTTAATAGAAAATTACATTCCGAATAGAATGATATATTCTATGTCAACATTTGATATTCTCACTTAAAAAAATTGCACTTTACATTGCGAAAAACGGTCACCAGAAAATTTTCATGCACAATTTCAACTACAAATAAATGATATATTATTGTTATTATTATTATGTATTTTAAAGTTTTATGTATTGTGTCCTAGTTCACCGATTTTGATGAATTTTTAAGCACTTCGTAGCTAAATTATTTGACTTTTTAATATCTAAAAATATAATAAAAATAAATAAATTAAAAATGAAAGTTGTCATCTGTTAATTAGGTATACGAGGAAAAACTGTTGATATTTTGGTAAAAGTGTGAAACACCTTGTGGAGTATGATAACAAAGCAAGGAATTTAATAATAATTTTGTCATCTAGGTATATTTTTTCTCGATAGTTTGTTTTTCATTCATCTTAATAGCTGTATTTATTTTAAATAAGTAAGTAACATTTTTACGAATTTATTATATTACAGCCATATGTCTCAGACCTATAAAATATTGTTTAAGATTTATGCCGTGTTACATCTAATATAAAATCATACTATTATTCTTTGTTGGGCAGTTACTCTAGCAGATATGGTTTTAAGTCCCAATGTTGACATCTACAATGATCAATTAAAGCAGCAACAGCCGATATTTCAGAACTTAAAACCATCTCTACAAGAGTAAACGTCAATAAACAATAACAATATGACTTTTCAACTAGGTATTTTCAAATTAGGTATAACGTTTTTTTTAACATTACCACTGCGAACGGCAGCTTTTCGTTGGTAGAGCAGTCGTGGATAAGGTATTTCACTGGAAAGAAACTAACTAACAATAATAAATCAAAAATACAAATATTGGGCGCCAGGCATGAACAGAGAAAGAAAACAGTTGTATATTACTTAAAACTAATGACTATATTTATTCATGATGGACTCTATTGATAGTAAATGACTTTGTAGAATTCTAGTAATTATAGTGGTTGTATGTCGTTGTACTAAATCGACATGAATAAGTTCTTAACGATCTAACCCCTAAACATAGTCTGTACGATATTATTTAAGATGTACGTTATTATGTTAAGAACAAAAATGTTTTAAATGTAAAACGTAAAACCAGAACTTAAATCTACACTTAGCTGTTTGTTCTTTAAGTAATCTTGCTTCAAACAGTAACAGCGTGAGGTGGGCTCGCATCTCTGCACTTTCTCTCGGCTCTACTGTTAGCCAATACAACAAAAGGGGCCAGGATGAGGACACCATGAACTAATACAGCCGTAACTATCGACTAGGCTTAAAAACAGCAGCATGGAGTTTACGTTACATCCATACTGGAACAATCTGTACATGAGACAAACCATTCACACAGTGGACACTCGTTCATAGGACATCCTTACATAGGATAATGCCCGTACCTTGGAAATAGTCCGTACCTTGGACACAGTCCGTACCTTGGACCCTAAAAATATGAAACTCGTGTTTAAAACCTACCAAGGTGTAATAAACACAATAAAACCTACCTCGAAACACTTCCAGAGGGCTCAATAATAAACAAAGAAACTGTCCTTTCTTCCATTTAACATTCTGGAGGACAAAAAAGAAAACTAACGTGTCAGCAAACACCAAAATACAAGTTGGTAAAGCTGGGCCGAATCCAAAACTCTACCACCCTAAAAATACGCAGTTATAATATCGAATCTAAAAAAATAATACCTCATCTTTACCTGTTGCTTTGAAATAGCCGCCGATTCAAATTATACAACAAGATTTAAATAATTGCAATTTCTCTAAGCCGGGCTCAGAAGGTGACAGCCGGCAAAACAAGAGCGAGTCCACAGCGCAGAGAGCGAAACCTTGAAGCGATGTTGACAGCCCTCCACAGAAGCGGTGAAACGATAACAGGGTTGTCGACTAGAGAGCGTTAAAATTACACCAGCCGAGCCGTTTCAAATTAATTATCAGGCCTGAACGATACAGAATCCGGTGATGATACGCCAGAAATCATATATCATATATAAAAAAGACATGTAACGAACTAAAAACGTTACAAGTGACATTACAAAAACAATAGACACTATTTTATAAGAGTGTTGATGAGGACCCAAAATCAATGCTAAAATTGCTGTAAATCGTTACTGTCTCATTCAAAAGCGAATATCACCAATAAAAATAAAGCTATTGAGATGAATCAAAAAACTAACTATCGAAAAAAGACGTACCTAGACGATAAAATTATTTTAAATTTCTTGCTTTGTTAACATATTCCACAGGGTGTTTCAAACTTTCACCAAAATATCAATATTTCGTTTTCCTCCGTATAATTGACAGATGGAAACTTTCATTTTTAATTTAGAAAGAGACACTAAAAATTCAGATAATTTAGCTACAAATTGCTTAAAAAATCATCAAAATCGAACCCCACTAGAACAGAATATATTAAACTTTATAATACATCAATATTTTAAGATGTGTAATGTAACTATTATTATTTTTATTCATTTAATAGACTTATTATTTTTATTATAGTATTAGTGATAATAATTTAAATAGGAATATATAAAATGAACTAAACAGAAGTTCTAAGAGTTAGATAAGTCACATTAAGTTCGTCGCAGGTAGTAGATAGTTATATGCTAATGCTACAATATACGGAGAATAGTTAATAAGTTTTAGGTATAATGGTAAAGTTCGTAGGAAAACTATTTC